ACCCTGTGATAAGCAGACCTGGTCTGCCTACCCTTAGCTCCCAACCTGGCCTCCCCCAGGCCATGCTGACTCGGGCAGCAACACTCTCCAGTCCCTCTATTTCCAGTGCAGAGAACCTCCTCTCCCTCCACGCCAAGAGAGCGCTGGCAGGCAGAGGCTGCTTTCATCAGGAACCAGGACAAATCAATCCAGCTAAGCTGCCTCCGCAGTGGAACCGCTGGGACGTGAGGACTCTCCCCAGTGCCCAGGCCAGCTGCAGCAGCCCTCTCTCCCGGGAAGGAGCGCCTGGTCCCCAGTCCCCGCTCCTGGGCAACGAAGAATATTCGAGGAAAACCACAGCCATGGCTCTCCAGATTGGGTGGCCATTAGAGACCACGGGGTGACGGGAAAGGCCTCTTGAGGGTCCCGGGCCAGCCAGGCAGAGTGGGAAGTCTGTCCTGGTGGTTCAGACCCGGACCTGCCCAGAACTCAGGCAGCCAGTCCTCTCTTGCTCATGAAAGAAGAGAAAGTGAAAGTTGCTCAGTCCTGTCCGACTCTTTGCGACCCCATGGACTCCACAGTCCATGGAATTCTCCAGGCCAGAATACTGGAGTGGGTTGCCGTTCCCTTCTCCAGGGGATCTTCCTGACCCAGGGATGGAATCCAGGTCTCTGGCATTGCAGGCAGATTCTTTACCAGCTGAGCCACAAGGGAAGCCTGTCCTGCTCATCATGGGATATAAATAGGCATACCTAGAGTTAGGGTCATTCTCCCCCGCCCCCCGCTCGTGCGGAGGGCTATAAGGCACTTCTCCCATAATTTTTGTAGGTCTTGTGAGATAAACAAGACTAACAAAAAAAAATAAATAAATAAATAGGCATACCTGAGGGTACATGCAGGTTTTTACATTCACAAGGGCCTGAGTGTACAATAATAGTGGTTAACTTTCATGTGTCACACACATAGGGGAAGGTCTAAGAGCTTTACATCTTATCTCATTCAATCCTCAAAATGAAGTAGATTATGATCCCTGCTTTACAGAAGAGGAATCTGACACCTGGGGAGGTACTGTAGCATGCCCAAGGTCACAACTAGGATTGGTATTTGAACCTAGGTTATCTTGAGTCTAAGCACTTTGCGATCCCATGGACTGTAGCCCGCCAGGCTCCTCCGTCCATGAGATTTCCCAGACAAGAATACTGGAGTGGGTTGCAATTTCCTCCTCCAGGGAATCTTCCTAAACCAGGGATCAAACCTGAGTCTCCTGCATTGGCAGGTGGATTCTTTACCACTGAGCCACCAGGGAAGCCTAATACTGCCTCCTTAAATAGGTGCTCAACAAACATTTGAGAAACTGAGTAATGTGGAAAAAAAGAGAGGGAGCAAAAATGAGTGCACCTTTCATCCTGAGATCACCCTAGTCCCCCATGCCTGGCGAGCCCACATCCTTAGTCAGTGTTTCCTGGACTGGCCTGTGTGTAACAGGAGACTGTGTCTACCTGAGAAAGAGCGAGAAGGAGCAAGATTTAACTACCAGTGTTCGGCTTACAAAAGGGGCCAGGAGAGTAGGTGTAGTCAGATCACCTTTCATCTTTCCCACAGGCTTTTCTTGCTACTAGCCACCCCTCCCCAAATGGAGTCTGGGCTTCCCGTCTTTGGGACGTAGGCCACCGTGGCTTAGATCTGGGACTGAGCAAGAAGGCATGCAGTGCCTGGTTCCCATCATTTCTCCAGGCACCAGCATTTCCCACAGCCCCAGGCCTCCCCACCTGCCCGAGTCAGGCCCTGTCACTTGGAAAGCTTTGCAAGGGTGTCCTTGAGATACACTTCCTGGTGTTTCTGCTCAAACAGTGTTGGCTGCAAAGTATGCCGAAGCATTTGGGCTTCGCATCTTGGTCCAGAGAGTGCCAATGTTTTCATTTGGAATGGCAAGTGTTGCAGTTGATGTGGTGAAGAGATAAAATAAGACGTTCATCGCCAAGCTGCACCGCTGCAAGTCCAAAGCTCGGCTGGGGGCGGGGATTCACCGTGGGACCGCGAGGGCGCGGCAGGGAGCCTGTGTGCATGCGTGCCCAGTTGTGTCCGACTCTGCGACCCTATGGACTGTAGTCCACTGGGCTCCTCTGTCCACGGCATTTTCCAGGCAAAGATACTGGAGTGGGGTGCCATTTCCTCCTCCAGGGGATCTTCCCCACCCAGGGATCAAACGTGTGAGAGCAGACAGGGTTAGCATTTGTTGAATGACCCAATGAGTGAATACACAAAGGGCCTAGAACCAGGCATGGTATATATTGACACTCAGTACAGGTTCTGAGTGGATCCCATAGGTTCTACCTACAAAAGGCATTCTTGCTCTGTTTGTGTTTCTCCATCTTCACCACCTTTGCCTCATCCAAGCCTCCATCACCTCTGGCCTGAGCAACTAACCAGTTCCTAACTGGTTTCCCAATTTCCACACTTTCCCTTATGGCTCATCCTGCCCACAACCACCAGTTATCTTTGCAAAATGTGGACCGGAATTGTGTCCCACCCTGCCTAAAACCTTCTGATGGCCTCACATTGCTTGTGGCCGAGGCATCCCAGGTCCCAAATGATTTGGCTCCGCCCACCCCACTAACCTCTCCTGGGGCTATTCTGTCACACTGGCCTCCTTGCAGTTGTTGGAAGAACCAGCTCTCTCCCACCTCACGACCTTGGCACTAGTGGGTCCCTAGGCCCGGACTGCTTTTCTCCAGATCATCACGTGTGGTTCCTTCCATCAATTTAGGGCTCAGCTCAAAGGTGTCACATCTCCAGAGAGGCCCTCTCTGAACCCCCTGCCTGAAGCAGCCCATCTCCCAGTCCTCTGTTTCACTTATCCAAGCATTTACTGAGCAATTACTAGATGCCAGGAGCTGTTCTAAGCAAGGAAATAGTAGTGAATGCAATAGGGGATGTCACGCCTTTCTACTGTAGCTCTCAAAAATCTCACAGCCTTGTTTGGGAACCTGCTTGTCTTTCTCACCAAGTGCCAAGAGGCCTGGGTCTGAGTCTGTCTTGTTCACTGTGTTCACCAAGGCGCACTAGGTACTGGGTAAACATCTGTTCAAAAAAAGAACAAATCGATGGATGGATGGCAGACAGGCCGGCCAACTGGACAGGTATGCAGAGCAGCCGACACACGTGCCACCAGGCACTTGGCTCTTGCTAAGGTCTCCCTGAGCTCAAATAAAGCTTTCTTCAAAGAAATCTCACTGTCACCCCCCAGGTTGACACTACTAGTATGTCCTGCCCACCCTGCATCAGCCTCTGACTATGGTCATCTAGGCTAACATAGGCAACAGGAAGGAGTAAACACAGCATGCTTAGGGTGACTGGCATTAGTGCCCGTTTTCCAAAAGGAGCCCCTGCCCACCACCTCAGTGTCCCGCCACTCGGGACAGTGCCTGGCACACCCAGCTGAGGGGCTCAGCTGAGAAACGCCTGCACACCCCCTGAACCCTCACCAGAGCCTCTCTCATCTACGTCTGCTGCCTCTGTTCCTGGCCGTGACTCTGGCCATGTCTTCCTCCTTGCTGGATCTTCATTTCCCTCCCACCAACACACAAGGTGGGGCCAGACACAGCTTTCTGGTGGCAGCCCAGAGGCAGGGCTTTAACACCTCAGTGCAAGGATTCTGTAGTTCCTTCTCCTGCTGATCCCCAAGCCCCTTGAGTTTGCCTTGCAAACACAGCAGGCAGGCAAAGCCACCGCAGCACCAAGCCCCAGCCAGCCTCGTCTGTGAAAGCAGCCTGCGAAACTGGCAGCCCCTGCAGATTCGAGCTGCGGAAATGATGAGCTGGGGCGCCCTGAAACTTGACTCCAAAACGGCAGCCAAGCCAATGCCACAGGAAGTACAGGGTTCTTTGCTGAAGGAGGTTTCTCCTCTCACAGCGTCAGCCGGGAACCCTTGCTCTAAGTCCCCACCCAGTCCTCCAAGGGGCCTAGGACAAAGGTGATCCGTGCCTGGCTTCCTCCCTCTTTTAACACTGCAAATCTTCATCCTTCCAGGACTAGTGGGAGTATCCCAAAAGGCAAGGTCACCATCGATGCAGGCTAAGGATGGAGGCGGGAGGAGTTGACAGGCCTGCCTCAAATGGAATTGGGTGCAAAAGCTTTCTCCCCAAGCTGTGAAGTTGCTACTATGGCTAACCAGGAAGCCACTTGGGTCCTGCATCCCTTCCCTTCTTCACTGCTGGCATCTTCGCTAGGGGAAGCCTTCCAACCCTAACTTAGGGCCTAAGAAAAATCCAGCCTTTCCCGTCATCCAAACAGATCTGGACTGGGAAATCAGAGGCTTGGGGGAGGGGTGTGTGTCCGGCTTGGGCTGCCTCCCTCTTCCTCGCCAGCGCCCCAGCCCGCCCTCATCCTGCGCAGAGAGGGCACTTACAGGCCTTGGCGGCCGAAGCGGGCCTCGCCCTGGGGATCCCATCCCTGGCCAGGCGGTGCCCTCAATCAACAGCAGCGGCATGACCTGGGCCCCGGTCCGGTCCGGGTTGAGGGTTGCGGGTCGTGGGGAGAGCGGCGGGGGGACGGCAGCCGAGCCTACTCCAAGTAACCATCGAAGACATCAAGCTCCGAGTCGGCGTCGTAGAGGCCCGAGCCGGGGTCGGAGAGCACGCCGAGGTCCACCAGCGCCTGGTCCATGTCCTCGGGCAGGAAGACGAGGCCCACGTTGAGGACGATGTACTCCATGAGGAAGGCGTAGTACAGGATCAGCACATTGACGAAGAACAGGCCCACGTAGAACATAGAGGGCAAGAGCGGCGGCGGCACGGAGGGGACCAGGGGGCCCAGAGCGTCCAGGTGGGCCGCGACCCGGGCGCCGGGCATGCAGCGGGCGGCGAGGGCGGCGGGCGGCGGGCGGCGGCGGCGGCCCGGCGATCCCGGCGAGCTCAGCCGCTGCGGCGCCCGGGCGGCCGGCGCGGGGGCAGCTCAGCCATCCAGGGGCTCCCCGGGGCTGGCCCAGGCAGCCCTGGGCCCCGGCGGCGTCCCCTCAAGAGATGTGCGTCGGCCCCTGCGGACGCGCCCTGGCCGCTGAGAGGTGTCAGGCGGGTCACCCCAGCCGCAGAGGCGGCCACACCGCACTGTCGACCCTTTCCAGCGGTCAGGCTAGGCCCCCACCCCACCCCAACCCCCTTCCCGAAGTGGCCGGCGGCTGCCCCGGGCTCCTCCGATGCTCCCCGCTCCCGCTCACTGGCCCTCGCGGCGCCTGCGGGCACCCTCCCCACCGCGTCTCAGCGTCAAAGACCAGTCCCGGCGACGGTCTCCTCAGCCGCTCCCGGCTGTTCCTTGTGCCCGCCCGGCGCCCGCTGAGGCGCTGCGCCCATGGCTGCGACTGCCGCGTAGCCCTCCAGGTCGCGTTCCGAGCACCGCCTCCGGAGCAGCCCCGCGCTCATTGGCTCGCCGCCCTCTTACCCGTGCTCATTGGCTCACCGCCCCTCCCCGCGCTCATTGGCTCGTCGCCTCCCCATCCCCTGCGCTCATTGGCTCGCTCGACAACTGCGCTCATTGGCCCGAGACTTCCGGGGGCGGATACTGCCTCGCTCCGCCCCTCCAGGCGCCGGCTTCTGAGTCGGCTTAGCGATTCCGGACTCGGGGCAGATCTAGAATCCGATTCGCTCTGCGGTTCCGCGACAGAGTAGGGGGAGGGGAAAGACTCAGAACTCGGTTACAACCGAGAAGTATCCTAAGGCTACAAAAGCTGAAGGAAATCGTGAGCTTCATCAGCACCCTGCTGGACTTGAGTATTGGCGCCACCCCTTTTTGGGACTCAGTTTACCTGTTGAAAAAGGAGGCAGAGTGGGAGTCGGGGGCGCTGGGCCTCACCAGTGAAAATTTTGGCCTTTCCGAAAGTGGCAGTTTTCCACGGTGGGGAAGATCTATCGGCCCCCGGTTCGTCTCTGCAGATTCTGGCTGCTGGAAGATCCACCCCTCGGCGGGGCGGGGCGTGGGGAATCTGCATAATAAAATTCAGGGACATCGGAGTAAAGAAACTTCCCGGCAGATCAGACCTGCAGTAGTAGGGTTGCTTCTTGTTTTTACTTTGTAAAACGTGTTTTACAGCAATAATAACGAACGTGGTTAAATATTCAACCAACCAAGAAGTCACAGAAAAGTGAGTCTCTTCCACTCGCTGATTCCCCTTCTCAGGGGCACCCCTTATACATCCTTCAGGAGACTGATCTTGCCCAAAGTGCCTCCCAAAGCGGTTTCAACCAGACTTTTAAATCTCAGGCCTCCCTTAGCTGGGTGCTTTACATGCATTGCTTAATTGGAACCAGCTGGGGGAAGTGCAGTATGTTACCCATTTTTACAGACTAGGAAACTAGGCCCAGAGAAACAGAAGGACCCTGGAAGCTGCTGGGCCTGTGTATGTTTTGAGGCCAGAATCTGCCCTTTTTTCTCCATGGCTCTCTCGTGCTCCTTTAAATGAATTATAGAGCAAACCATTACTCTTCCAACTGCTGAAGGTGAAACAAACTTTCATTCATTCATTCACTCTGATATTTGTTGAACACCTATTATGTGGCAAACCTTGTGCTAGGTATTGGGGAGAACATTGGCCCTTAGCCCAATTCTGTCCTGAGCACAGTTAATGGGACACAGTAGACCTTAAATAACTGTGAGGTGTAGAAAAGGGTGAATGGTGAGCAGGGCAGTATCGCCTCCATGGAATTTCCCACTTCCAATCCAGGAGAGAAATTTAGATACATCTTCTGGCCTGGTGTAAGTAGTTGGGTGTTTCCTTATTTTTTTAAAGGTGGGTTTTGGAACTGGCATGGATTTGGGGTGAAGACCAGAGAAATCCACTGAAAGTATAGGACGTTCAGTTTTGGTACACTGTTGCTCAAAGGCCTTTCAATATTTATTTTTTAACTCAAGTAGAAAAAGACTGTGAAGGACAAACCAGGCTGTTACCGGTTTGGTGCCGTTTCGTTTCTTGGGGCATAAAAGTAAGGGCGTCTGGGTTTGAACCTTGGGTCTGCCACGTACTATATATGATCTTGGGTAAGTTAACCCCACTGTGATTCAATTTCCTCGGGTAAAAGGAGGATAATAAAGGTACTCATCTCATAGAGTAGTTGTGAGAATTAAATAATATGTGTAAAGTGCTTACGGCAGTGGCACACAGCATACGCCAAGGAACAGCTATTCTTATTCTTATCATAAAGGTAATAATTGCTAATACCGTGGTAACTTTCATTCACCCATCTTCACAGGTACATTTCTCAGGGCTCCGCCCACCCCTAAGACACTGAGAACTCCCCTCCTCTCGCCCCGCCTCTTTTCCAAGGCCGCGGCCCTCGGTTTCAGGATGCACGTTGAGCTTCGCAGTTCCTTCGCAGAGTCCCGTCCGCGGGGGCCTCGCGAGCGAACTGCATTTCCCAGCATCCCTCGCGGCGGCCGGCCGTAAAGCGCGGCGGTCGAACGGCCGGTTCCGGCTGAATGTCAGTGTGGGGCTGTGGGCCGGGGAGGAAGGTGGTTGGTGGTGTCTCCACCACCCGCGCCGCTGCCTCCTCCGCTTGTGCCGCCGCCACGGGCGCCCGGCCGGTCGGCCGCTCGGGCATGAGACCGTGAGGCGAGCGACTGGCCGGGACCGCCGAGATGTTCGGCCGCTCGCGGAGCTGGGTGGGCGGGGGCCATGGCAAGGCTTCGCGCAACATTCACTCCCTGGACCACCTCAAGTGAGTATATAGGGGGAGAAGGGGGAGGCCGCGGGGCGGGAGCTCGGCTTGGGGGCGCGTAGATCCCGGCCGGGGCGCTGGGAAGTGTGAAAGCGGAGGCGGAAGGCCGAGGGAGGCGCTCGGGGAAGGCTGTGTGCTCGTTAAGAGCTATGGCTCTGGACATAGGGCGCCCGGCTTCGAACCCCGACCTCGTAGCTCCTCTCTTGTGTGACCTTGGGCAAGTCGCTCCGCTTCTCAAGAGTCTCGGTGTTACTGATGCAGATTTCAGTTTACGGATGCAGACCTCGTTCTCGCCGGGGCTGGACTGTGGGCACCAAGCTTCCCCGGGGCGGTATTTCTTAGGCTGGATCGCTTAGGGGTTCAGAGGTCTGGATCCTGGAGCCAGACAGATGTGGGTTTGAGTTTAAGTGCGTGAATTTAGGCCTCAGTTTCTTCAGTTGTAAAATGACTATAGTGACAGCACCTGCTTTCTACGATTGTTTTGAGGGTAGGGTTAGAGAATGTACATAAAGGTGGAAGCTTCTACCAGTGCTCAGTAAAGGACAAAAATTTAAAAAAAAAAAATCCCGACTAGTTTCTTAGGGGAGTATAAAGAGTCAGAAGTAGAGCTCAGCAGGAGGTAGGTGGCAAGGTGGTTCTGGGAAGCAAGGGTGCACAGAGTGGCTGCATTCAGATTCTGATTTCATCATTGAATGGCTGTGTGACCTTGGCCAAATTGCTTCACCTCCCTGAGCCTCTGATTCCTCATCTGCAAATAGGGGTGGTGAACACTGTGCAAAGATTCCATAATGTTGTGTGTGTAAAGAGATTGAGCCAGCATCTCTTCTACAGTAGGCAGCTAATAATAGTAGCTGTGTTGATCAGTAGGGCCAGCCCTTCCCAGACATCCCTACCTAAAGTGCTTCCCCTGCCCCAATTCCTTTCTGTTAGATCATTCTCTTGATTTCATTCATTTGATTCGTCTCCACTACCTGCAATTATTCTTTGTGTCTTTACTACTTTTGTGTCTGTTACTAAGCTGGTACTTCCAGGAGGGCAGAGGTGGCTTGTTTTGCTCACAAGCTGTATTCCCAGCATCTAGCTCTGTGCCTGGCACCCAATAGAATCTTGACGGATGCTTAAAGAAAGAGAAAAATGAATGAATGGGGAGAGGTGCAGAGCATACAGGCAGAGATTAGGATTTTTTGAGGTCGAGGGGAGGATTAATGGAAAATAGGGGCTTCCTTGGAGGCTCAGATGGTAAAGAATCTACTTGCAATGCAAGAGACCCAGGTTTGACCCTTGGGTGGGGAAGATACCCTGGAGAAGGAAATGGCAACCCATTTCAGTATTCTCGCCTGGGGAATCCCCGTGGACAGAGCTGGTGGGCTACAGTCCATAGCGTCACAAAGAGTCGGACACAACTGAGCACACACGCACACGCAATGCTGTAATTCTCAGCTGTGCCTTTCTAGCAGGGAGCGGGCACTTAATAAATATTTGTAGGTCTCAAAGAGTGGGAGTCAGGAGGAGTCATTACATAGCGAGGAATGGTTTTGCGGGGTTGGGATGAGAGGCCGTGGGGAGGAGAGAGGCCTAGGACAAAGATGGGGCTGTGTAGGGAGGCAGGAATCTTAGATGGGAGGGCAGCTGGACGGGAAAGGGAGAGGCTTAAGGATTTCAGGAATTTAGGGGGTGGGTGGATGAGGCTGAGAAGGGTGGAGGGTTATCTAAAGGAGGTTGGGCATGCTCCGGCACCCAGGTGCCTGAGGGCTCTCACCTAACTCTGCCCTTTTAAGTTACTTTAGTGATTATCGAATGCATGTTCAGTGCCAGGTGCTTGTCAAGGACTCCCTGCGTGTTATTTCCTTTAGTCCTCACAAGTCTTATGAGTTGTTGGAAGTATTATTGTTTCCATTTTCTAGAGTGGAAACTAAGGTCCGAAGATGTTAAGTCACTTACCCAAGGTGACAAGAGCTGAAAAGCGTCAAAGCCAGGATTTGAAACTTCAGGGTTTGCACTCATTATGCTGTCTTCTTGAGTAAAAATCCTAAAAGTCAGTTTGGGAAGACTTTCAACCTGGCTGAGTCTCACTGCCCAATGGGGCATCCTGGCTGTCTGGCCAACCAGGGAATGATAAAGGGATTCAGGTTCCTTTGAAGTATCCCGGGAACTGCCCAGGTTCATTGTTTAGGTCACAGCGCCTGTGGGGTGCTTTTTGGAAACCTGAGTTGCCTGCCCTGAATCAGGCAGATCAGCTTAATCCATATTATAGCCTAAAGAACCTGGTGATCTGTATATTGAAGGGGGACTTAGAAGATCCCAGAGTGACCTGGGAAAGAATGCTGTAAACAGCTGTAAACAGTGCCGTAAACAGCACTTGGGCACAGAACAGCCCATTCCCTGAGGGAGCGCTCAGGCTGGTGGGGAAGACAGAGCCAGTGACTGTGGTGTGACAAGTGCGAGGGTCGCTGTGGGTTCAGGGCTCTGGGGGAACCCTTCTTGGGTGCTCTCTGGGGGAGGCAGCCGGAGCAGAGTGGTCAGGGATGAGCAGGAGCTCCACGTGGAGCCTCGGGATGTGAGAGTGGGGCCCTGGGGTGTGTGGAGCGTGGAGGTGGGGCTGCAGGGACACAAGGCTGGAGGCAGAGCAGGGCTTCATGTGATACACAGGGTGACAAACCATCCCGGGTGCCTGGGACTGAGGGGTTTCCCAGGACGTGGCGCTTTCAGTGCTAAAGCCGGGAAAGTCCTCGGCAACCAGTATGAATCGGCCACTCTACCAGTGACAGGTGACAGTTCCTGATACACTCTTGCCCTGACCTGGGGCAGTGCGGGTAGAGAGATTAAGATATTGAAATGAATTCAGAATGGACAGTTTGGGGATGGGGTGCACAAAGCATCTGGGAACGCTCTTCCTTTTTTTTTTAACTGTTTATTTTTGGCCGTGCTGGGTCTTTGTTGCTGCATGGGCTTTTCTCTAGCTGCGGTGACTAGGGGCTACTGTCTTGCTGCGGTGTTTGGGCTTCTCATTGCGGCGGCCTCTCTCCTTGTGGAGCACGGGCTCTGGGCTGCGGGCTCAGTTTCAGGCTCTGGAGCATGCAGGCTTCAGTAGGTATGCTGCAGGAGCTTAGTTGCCCCGTGGCATGTGGGATCTGCCCAAGCAGATTCTTGCCCACTGTGCCACCAGGGAAGCCCTCCCCCGCCCCCTTTTAAAAATAGACTTTACTTTTAAGAGAGGTTTGAGATTTACAGAACAATTTAGAAGATAGTCCAGAGACCCGGAAACCTTTTCAGAACCACATTATTCATAACATTCCTAGCTTTCAAACTGGAGAAGAATTTTTCTTGCAAGACAGGGTTTTACTTTTGCTAAATAGTGGAAAGCTGTGTACTGTGGTCTTTGTCTACTGAATGGAGTTAGTGGTTTAGTTGAGGCAGATTGAAACAGTAAGAGGTGGTTTGCTGCACATCATGGGTGGTTTATTGGCCAGATCAGTGGCAAGGCTGTCACATGGACGAGCAGAACCTTGGCTGATGGAGTTGCCTGATCGATACTGAAGCATCACCTTCAGGGACTGCGAGTCCACAAATGACTGGAACTTTCTTGTTGTTGGGATGGGTCGTTGCCTTAATTCTGATCTCTGGGTGTGGGTTAAGATTCTTGGTTGCAAGTGATGGAAGCTCCCCTGGAATCACCTTCAGCCCCAAATGGATCTGATTGACTCTTGCCGCTGAACACACTGTCCTAGCTAAGCTGTGGCTGAGTCTGAGTGTTCAGATGAAGTTGTCAGTATATGCTTCTTCCCATGTCTCATCTCTGCTTCTTCTTGGTTGGTGTCATTCTCAGAATGCTCCATTACATCCAATCAGCTTAGCAACCCCTGGGAAAAAGCGATCTTCTTTTCTTAATATTGCCAGCAGAAATCTGGAAGTGAGTATCGTTGCACTGACCTAGGGTCTCGTGCCTGTCCCTGAGTCAGTCACTGTGGCAGGGGCATGGGGTGCTCTACTAGGCCCTTCCCTGGAGTCAGGGTGACATCAGCTCCTTCCAGACTAGTGGGCAGAGAATGAGAGAAATGGATGATTCGGCACGGGGAAATGAAGAAGAGGAATGGACACCTAGCAGGCAGACATTCACCTGCTCTTGGTGTATTCAACTTTTGCCTAAGGTCACACTGATTTTCAGAGCTCGGGGCACTGGATGGCCAGATTCATTTTCTCAGAACATCATACTCATCATATCACTCATTGAGGCACCCTTTATGTCACGTCCAAAGGCCTTTATTTCCTCCAGGCCTTCCGAGTGCTCCAGGCTCTGTGCCCACCTGTCCAGCTTGGGAGCATAGATGGAGACCCTCTAACCCTGGCTGGGGAGCCAGGAGCACCCTCAGTAGGCAGACAGCGGTTTACATGGAGATGTGAAGGATGAGTGGTTGTTCCAGGCAGTCGGGGGCTGGAAGGGGGGACGCCACAGGCAGAGGACGCAGCATCTCGGAAGCCTGCAGCGGGGAGGCAAGCTGTTAGGTGACGGGAGCACTCAGGGCAAGAGAGGGTGGACGACCCGAGTGCAGAGCCGTGGGACGGGAGAGGCCCCAGAGCCAAGGTCCTGCGGAGGAATCCAGACACCAGGCTGAGAGCAAGCGGGGAGCTGCGTGCTCTGGCCTGGTCCAGTTTGGAGGACGAGCTGGAGTGGTGCCCCCTCAGAACGGCTGCTGTCTCCTACTGACGGTCAGTGAGGGTAGCGCCGCCGTAATCCGGGGGTGTTTCTCGGGCCTTTTCGCGCTGACAGCCCTTCTCTCACACACCCCTCACCTGTCTGCCCCGTGCTCTCTCCGATGCCTGTCTGCTGGTAGGACTCGGCATGAGTATACTGCCATGCCCCGGGCTCAGCCCCTCCTGGGGGAACTCACAGTGAGCCACGTGGCGCAACCGTGAAGAAAGGAACCCCCACAGATCACACTAATTCTCCCGTAGAAATCGCCCGGTGACTTCAGCCGACAAGAAGTTTCCCCGTCCTCTCT